AAGAGAGGAACTGGAGGTTGAGTCAGAGTTTCTGGGAAGTATTCTGAGCTTCTTTCACTCTATTTAAACCAGCTGAAAAATGTTTTGTTTTGTGGGTTTTTTTACGTAAGTTCATAGCTTATTCTAATTGATATGGTAGGACACCGACTGCAGTAAGCTATTTCTGGCAAGTGTAAGTGCTTGGTAAAGAGGATTTAAGTTAACTTTCAGTAATTAGTATATTGACTTTTGGCTAGTATAGTCAAATAGTAATCATTTCTGGTGGAGTTTATTTTGACATTATTTTTCAACACCGCAATAAACCTCGGGTCTAAAATTGTTTATATTTTGTACAGCAGTTAATAAATCAGACTGAATTTGCAAATGTTCTGCTATTCTCATGCTCCACCTCTATTCAGCAGAACCAAAGAGATTTTTCATTCACTGCTTTCAAGGTTTCCAGAATTAGGAGGTTGCTGCTGATTTTAAGACATTCTGAGGCATACCTGGTTGGTTTGCCAGCAACCATGTATTAGTTCAGTCATCATAGCTATCAATCAATATCATGGAAATTGTGTAAGTATAGTCTTTATAAATCTGCCCATTAATTATGAGGTATGGTTATTGCTGAGTAATGTAACAGTGGCCAGTGGAAAATGCTGGTGAAGCCACAGCTGTATTTCTCACAGGATGCTTTTGTTGCATTGCTTCATGCTCATTCAGCCAGTGACAACTGCTCTGAATGTTTGAGCATTTGTTCTACAACCGCTTCTGTTATTCCACAACTCATTCATAACTAATCTGCAAATCCTCATTCCCTTCTCTTCCTGGCCTATCTGCAGGACTGCTCGAAGTGCACACATGGTTAGATGTAGTGGTGAGACAGGACAGCTTATCCTGTATGCATTTTACAGGATTTTTAGTGCTTAAGTAACATTCAAATGTTCACAGCTTTTGCAGCGGATATGTGTCGGAGTTACTTTTGCCATTGGTATTAATTTGACCATTTTACTGTTCCTTTTGTCTTCTTACCATTGTTAAAACTTTCCTACCAGACTTCTTTTAAATTAGGTTAAAAACTCTTTTGGAGTCTCCCTATAGCTTCTACAGATTCTAATCCATTGCTGAGCTGAATATGGAACAGGCAGAGCACTAAGACTCAGAGGAGCTGACATCTTCCATGAGTTGTCCCTGCAGCCTGCCCTGGGACATTCTACCAGCACTACCAAGCCCTCGTTCTTCCTCTCATTTTCAGTCTGTTCTATCTGTGTGGAGAACAAACTGCCTCTTTTGTTTTTGTCTGTGCTGTTGGCTAAGCTCAGTTTTAGTCCTTTTTGGAAGACATAAAACAGGAGGTTATAATAGAGTACAATCATAGAATCATTTGAACTGGAAGAGATCTCTTCAAAGGTCATCTAGTCCAACCCCCCTGCAATAAACAGGGACATCTACAGCTAGATCAGGTTGCTCAGAGCCTGGTCCAATCTTACCTTGAATGTCTCCAGGGACAGGGCTTCAGAGTAACCTGAACAACAGTATGGTATATGGAAAAAGAAGTATCTTTCCAAAGCCTGAAACTCAAAAGCTGGCACAAGGGAGATTGGGAGAGGACCCTGCAATATATACCTCCTCAGTAGGAGGGAAGTAGACATACAAAGGCAACCACAATGCTGTAAAACAGGAGCACTTATTTTCTTCTTTTACAGAGAGGAGCATAGTGGTAGTCAAGTGTTTACTCACTGTAGGAGTGTAGGTACACTGGGTACCTGGTTGCTAAGGTGATCCCAACATTTACCTCTAAGGTGTTTTTGTAGAGATGTTAGAAAATGGAGTCCACAGAATCATACAATAGAATCATAGAATCATTAAGGTTGGAAAAGACCACTAAGATCATCTAGTCCAACCATCAGTGCATCCCCACCATGCCCACTGTGCCGTGTCCCTCAGTGCCACATCTGCGCTCTTCTCGAACACCTCCAGAAATGGTGATTCCATGTCCTTGGGCAGCCTGTTCCAATACCTCACCACTCTTTCCAAGAAGAAATTTTTCCTAACATCCAATCTGAACCTCCCTGGTGCAACTTAAGGCCATTCCCTCTTGTCCTATTGTTAATTCTGCATTATTTCAGATAGGGTCAATCTTCAGAAAAGGAAAAGGAGCTCTACTATATGCTGGAGCACCTGTCTGGAAGTACTTGAAGCCCCATTGCAAGTGATTCCATAAGTTTCTGTATGAATGATAGAGCGGGTGCCAAGCAAGGGAGCAAGCATAGAGATGGATAAGGAGCAGAGGGGTGATTTTCAAAAGGTACTTTGGTCCTTCTGCTTGCTTTAGATAAAAGTTCTTGTGGATAATTTAAACTTTTGCTGAATGAGACAGAAAGTAAAGAGGAGATTGAGTGTTGTAAGACCTCATCTAGATGAGATACCATCTTCACTCTCTGAAATGCTGCTGTAGACTGAAGGATCATTCTCCTGCTGGAAAAACTGTTGACTTTTTTATTTAGTTCTGTTTTTGCATGGAATGGGCACAGTGGACAAAACTGGAAGGCAATAGTCCTCCTGGCTTTATGAAAGCCACATTTATGCTGAAGTGAAGCATAGCTGTTTGCTTGTTGTTGCTTTTGGTTTCAACAAAACCCTCAAAGGATGTAATTCAAGTAATTCACACGTTTAAACAATAACACTGAATTGGGCTTATTTTCAGCTTGGCACCTGTCTTTGCAGAAGCCTGGAAACTCATTTCAGGCCTATTCTAGAAATGTCACAGGGATATTTTCAGGGCTGGTGAACTGGTCTGTTCTGCTCTCGTGCAGCCTTATGAGGCAAATACCAGCCAGCCAGCTTACAACAGAGTTGACCATTAGCACTGGTTCTGCCACTGGGTCCTTTGGTGGTTATGGACAATCGCTTACTGTCTCTGTGACTCCATTTTCCCACCTTTAAAATAGGAGTGATGGTTTTTATTTCCTTTCTAAAGTGCTTGAGGTGCATTTTATATCACAGCAAAAATTCCTAAGTGCAGTCGTATATTTTGCTCTTTCAGAGCTGTAGGAAACTATCTGTGAATCCCTGCAACCAGTGGGGGTCCCTGCAGTCATTCAGAATTGGTAGCTGGGCGTCAGTGGCGACTGCACAGACATGCCCATATTCCAGAGTTGCCACTGCAGCTTGTACTGATAGCCCAAGCTAGTGCCTAGCGGTGGCACTGCTAACGAGGCACCCGTAGTAGCATGGAGCTCAGTGTGTGCTGCTGGCTGCACCCAAGGAGCTGAGAGCAGCCCACGCTGAGCTCCACACTGCTGCAACAGCGTCACTGCCGGTAGCTCCACTGGTTAATTTAAAGCTAGCTGAAGTATGTCTGCACAAGCCGCAGCTAGGCTGTGACTGCGGTATAAAAATACACCCTACAGGAGACCACAGGCAGCCAAATCTTCAGAGAAAGCATCTTGCTTACATTTGAAATCAAGCACGGGCTGATGGCATTGTTTCAAATTTGCTTTACCTTTAGTTTGTTGTTCTTCATATTCTGCAGGTGCAGCCGTGCTCCTAAAGTAGGTGAAGATTTCACTTTTCCTCCTCACCTGTCACAAATGGTGTTTTAGACTGGGATGTGCTTAAAATAGGAATTTAAATGTCTCAATTTTCATTTTGTTTGCCATTTTAACCGTACATGACTCTCATCTCCCTTTTTTTTTTTTTCATCCAAAGTGTGTAGGAAGAATTAATATTGTGACAATAATGCTGAGCAGTAAGTACTATCACTGGTTTCAGAGATGGAGAAATGAAGGCAGAGGAAAGGTTACCTGCCAAGGCTTAAACCGTGAGTTAAGGTGTGAGAAAGGGCTGGTACTATGCATTTGTTTTTCCCTGGGGGAACCAGTGCTGTTTGGGCCACGTGGACTTTATCAGTCAGCCACTCACCAATTAACCGTTGCATCCTAAGCCGTTTTTTGCCAGGTCCCCTGTTTTTCTACACCTTATGCTAATGTTTATAAGAGAGGTCTTAAGTATACTTTACAATGACATAGCAAATTAATAATAACCTAAATAATTCAGTATTATATAAATTGTATGGAACAAGCATCCTCCTAGGGTGTATCATATAAATAAAACATGGGTTAGAATGGACTGTGAATGATGGTATTGTAAGAAAGGCATCTCAAAACATAAAGGAGTAATGATCACATCCTTTTCTATTTTATAGTCTTTCTTCTTTAACATACTTAAAAAAAAAAAAAAAAAAAAAGGTTCCAAAATTGAAATGCTTATGGTAAAGGTATACATTGAAAAAATCTTGGTTTAAGTCTCATTAGGTGTGTTAAGTGTCAATTCATTTGACAAAATGATCTCTTAGAAAACAGTTTGCATCAGTTCAGTGCTATTTCATGGCTGATTCCTCAAAGATCTATTCAGAGTATAGAAAGAAGCCACATGATTCATTCAGCTTGTGCATATCTTTTTTATCTTGATAGAAGGATTATCTATGAAGAGATAAAGGTTTGTTAAACAAAGTATCATTAATCACTCTGTCCGGAAACGTAGTCTTTGCAGGAACATGCCGTAATTTGCATTACTTTCACTATGCCTTGCCAGTGCTGCTGCTGAGAAATAAGAAACCTGCATTTCTGAAAAGGACAGGTTTAAGATGAAAATAATTCTATCCGAAAACTATGAGAATGGCACAGAATCCTACCGCCTGCACTCGTTCAACGGGAGAACACTGTATTTGTAATAAATTCCTTTTGCTCTGGATGAGTTCTGCATTTTCAATGAGGTTAACTTGGCAACATTCTAGTTGATTTTAATAAAAATAGCTGCTTTGAGGACAGGGAGCTGAGGTTGCCAAATTTACAGCTGCCTTGCACAATTACTCTTACACCTCCTTCAGGGCTACTTAGAACCAGTAAGCAAATTAAGTGTATCGATTGCAATTTTGTTGGACTAACCCTTTTTTCTTAAGGAATAAACTTGATTCCTTTCAGTATGTGTCTGCTCAGAGTGATCTCTTTTCTTTTCAGCCATAACACAAAGACAACATCATGGCTGGATCCACGACTTGCGAAAAAGGCTAAACCTCCAGAAGAGTGCAAAGAAAATGGTAGGTTATTAAGTTTTCGTTGCTGCTCAGAGGGGATTTGCCTTTGTGTGTGTGTGTGTCTCTCAGTTCTTACAAAAATCAGGCATTTGGGGGAATGATGAAAGGTGTTTAATTGCTGCTTTGGTTACAAGCCATAAGTGATACCAGTTCTCAGTGTGCCATGTGTTTCTGCTTTTTATTCCCCTTTCTGATGCTATCCAAAGCTGAGGATCACAAGTGTGTTTTCTGCCTGTTGTGTGTGTGTGACTCCGGGACTGACCCTCTCCCTCATCTCCTACGGAGAACTTTGGTCTGCAGAACAGAATCCCTTTTCAGATTCTGAGCTTTTAATCTACAGGCGATTCAATGCATAAGGGAAGCTAGCAGCACCGTGGGAATATGAATATTGTTTGATTTGTATTTAAAGGTACAGTGCTATGCTGTTTAGTAGCCAATTTAAACAAAATAGCGTCTGATAAAGCACCGTGTGGGAGGGAGAAAATAGATCTGTGTCTGTCCGAGTTTGTGACTGCATTTGGGGGTACTACGTTGTTAAGGGTTTTAAATTTATCAGTGTCAATAGTATGGGGATGCTTAGAGAGCTGCGGCTGAAATGCAGGAGAGATGAGTTGTATGTCGACTAACTCAACGAGAGAGATGGAATACACATCTCCTCAAACTATTGCTTATGCACTCAGTATGATTTTTATTTTTCCTCTAGTAAAGTTTCAGGAATCAGAATCATTTAATAAAGCCAAATTAAATATGCACAGCGATGGATCTGTTTCTGAGGAGTTTTATTTTACTGTTTAATACTTCAGTGTTAATTAAATGAGCCAGTTAAGAAGGAATGATTTCTAAAGAATGCTTCTTGTTTTGCTATTATGAGATATAGAGAATTAGATGCATGCATGCTATTCACATTATCTCAAAGCATTTTAGTATTTTAAACTGACTAATAGGCTTTCATGTACTGTGTCTGATTTATTTAAAATTTTCTAAAATGCATTACGTTGTTTAATGTAGATGTTATTAATCGAAAGAAAACTCAGTGCGATTTTGGGCTGATGAAGTGTCACTGAAGAGTTGCTGGTTGTGTGAAATTTAGGGGCAATGATTTGGTATAAACTGTTCCATTTTTGCAGATGACTTCTTTTTTGAAAGTCTGCTTTATTCTAAAAATTCCTTCCTTATTTCAGCAGTAATTCTGACGTTCTCTTCTGACATCAGAAATTACATGTCTGAATGATTTTGTGATGCTTATTCCAGCACTTACAACACTAGTCCCTGGAGTAAATTCTGTACTGAAAAGAAGTGTTACTGAAACAAAACAAGGGCACAGGAGTTCTGTATTATAAATCTTTCTAATTACATATATGAAGGAATATGCACAGAAAAAGGAGAAAAATCCAGCTATATCTATGAAGAAACATACCACATTACTTGGAGTAAATATGTGTTGCTTTTTCTTTTTCTTACTTATAACTGTTACATTGAGATCACAAAAAATACTGAAATATTAAAAAATAGCAGTGCTTGATATAATTTTAAATGAAGATCTATGCATTAAAGAAACAGCATTATCTTACAGATATTTGACTACTAGATTATTGAATGAGGATAGTGTTCTGGGTCATGCTGTATTTTAAAGTTACTCACCTCATTAATGCAAAGTACTTGAAGTGAAGCTTAAAAGAGTAGGAAGATGTCTTGTATTCGTGTAGAGCTTGTTCTTGCAATGTCCTCCTCTTTTCCTAAGGTTCTTCAGTTGCTCAAAAATTGCTGCTGTGGTTTTCTGGTGTTTTGTTCTTTGCTTTTTTTTTTTTTTTTTTTTTTTATGTTCAGTACCTGCAGAAGAAAGTCCCTTAAAAATGCCATAAAATGACTATACCTTGCTCTGAGGTCCTCCACCATGGTGCTTGTTATAGGGGGTATGGAATTTTCAATTAGATTTCATATCAGATCAAGGAGTAATTTCATACATTTAAGCTATGACTTGGTTATCTTATTTATCCCAAACATCTTTTCTGTTACATTTCATGATTTATTATGGCACATTTTTACTAAGAGATACAAAAATTTGGAACATGCTGAGATAGAAAATGATACTTAACGTCCTTCCGTATCGCTATCTGCATAGCTTGTGTTTTCATCGACATTGCTTTTGCAACATTTGAAACTTGTATTGATTCTCTGAGTTATACTGTTATGCTCTTATCACCTATCAGATCCTGCCATCAGGTTTTCATCTGAACAACCCAACTTTCATATTCTCTTTCTGTGCAAATCCTGCCAAATTCTTCTTCATTCTGACACCAGCACACCATCTCCACCCTGACAAAGTCTGAGCAGTGTTTAGTATGTTTTGGTCTAACAGTACTGAAGGCCCCCTCTGCTCCAAGCATCTCCTCTCCTCTACTTTCCACTCTTCAACGTTCTTTTGCCAAAAACTAATTCTCCACATTCCCCAGTGTTCCATACGTGCAAATCTCGGTGCTTGCTCACCTCTATTTGAAAGTCTGAACTAACCTTTCAGCACATCCTTCCTCTTGGAAGAAAATTTGACATCTTTTCCAAGAGACTGACAAGCTCTACCAAGTTAAGCTTTCTCTGCCTTCACGCTGTGAACTCCTTCTGTTTTCCTTTAATGACAGACACTGCTCTTACCCCCTTTGTAGGTCAGGAGGTTTTAAGGGCTGATTTTTATTTCAGTCTCTGTCATGACCTTCTGAGTGAGTTTCAGCAAATTACTTTGACTTCTTCTCCATCAGATCTACTTAGATGGTAGTTCTTTGAAGCAAGAACTGTCTCTTTCTTTGTTTGTATGGTGCTTGAGTTTTGTAACAGCAGGAAAGAGAAATGGTTGGCAATACGAACTGGAATATTTTACACATTTCTGGTATCTTTCAGAAAGTCTTGACTTTTATTTTTTTCTTTTCTGAGAACAAGAATTAAAAAATTGGATTTGTCTGGTTGGAATACTTTTTAAATTTTTCCTACTTATTTTTTTTTCAAATGAAAAATCACATAATCATAGAATGGTTGACCAGTATTTTTCTGCAGATTTCTGCATGCTGTAAGCCAGATTCCCTGGTTTCTACATTTTACATAAAATTGTAACACATAGCAGACTCCTCAGATGTGCATTCTTACAGCTATGTTGTGTGAATGGTCTACTAAGAGTCTGTTCTTTGGGAAAGAATATGGAAAAGAAGTATAAGTCCCATAAGGCAATAAAATGTAGTCTAATATAGAAATGAGCTTAAATGACAGATCTATTATTGTAGAAAGTTTAATTTTGATTAAGAAATGAAGTAATCTAATTTTTCAAATTCTTTAATCCATTTTAGGAAGAATTCCATTCTGGAGAAAATTGGGAATTAAACATCTGTGGAAATTTCCTGAGATCTGAAAGTCACATTTCACTTAGTTCATTTCTAATCCATTCCAATCAGGAGTCTCCATCACTCTTAGCCCTCTCTTTCTTTTTATGCTAACCTCCCATTGCCTGTGTCTTCATTTTCAAACACAAGTAGAGTCAAAACTATAAATAAAGCTTTGATTTCACCTATTATTCATCTGTCATGTGCCTTTCCATCTACTCTACACCCACAAACTTGACTGAAAAAGAAATGTTTATTTAGGTGAGTGGAGTTGCCTTTTGATTTCATTGACTGTGCATACCAGCTCTATTTTAACAATGGAGGGGCACAGACATGTAGTTCATGCGTAAATATCTAGTACTTTCAACCTCCATATGCCTGTACCTTGCCACTTCATGGCATGTAGGACTTTTCACCCCAGCCAAAGAGTTTTCTCTCACTGCTTTGTGTGGTACATGTGGTACCATGCAGATAGCCATGAATTCAAGAACTCAGTTCTTCTTCCATCTTCAAGACCAACTTCATCACATTGATCAATCATCTCTAAACATCTCAGATCCCAATCTCCCTTTCTCCAATTAAAAATAATTTAAAAAAGAGAAAACTGACGATTTATTGCTATAACTGATTTTTTAATTCTTGATATATTTAGTATGCAAAACAAAACAAAATAAAAAACTTGAAGATGAGTTTTAAATTCCAAATCATAAGGATGGTCTCTGACTAAGCCATCTGTAATCTCAAAGTAGTAACTATCTTACAAAGCAGGAAGCATCCACATGAGTACACAGGCCCACTTTTCCTTACTTTTTTTCTAAAAATGTATGTAGTACATTTTTAGCTGGAAACATTTCATGTGAGACACAGGAGCATCTTTTTCTTTGTTAACCTCTTGAAAAGGTGTTAAAAATTAAGAAAAAATTATTGTAGTATGATTTTGTATTATCAGTGCCTTAATGCTAAGAAATGTTTTTTTCTCAAAATCTCACAATTTAACATACAGTCCCACTTCACGTTCTGGTCTAAGCTACTGCCTTGCCATTTTTTGCATACCCCTGCATACTAATACTAGAAATAACTGAAATCCTGCAGTTAGTCCACTTTGCTTCTTTCCAGTAGATGTTCTTTCTCTCTAAACCATCTGACTCTGGTAGAAAGACAGATTTTCGGAGATGGAAGAAAGTATATATGGGCAACTCTGACTCTGTTGTTATATTTCCACAAGTGCAAAACAGGAATACTAAACAAGTATTTTCTCAAATTTCACCAGGCTTTGTTAAAATTAATAATTTTTTCATATTATTAGGTTCTTTGATTGTTGTTAAAAACAAAAAAACAAAAAAACAAAAAACAAAACAAAAAAAACCCACCAAAATCTAGGACTTTCACCATATTTAGATTTAATACATCCCATATTTCTTTTTAGGAAGTCAAACCACATAACAAACATTTCTTTTTCTTATTTCTCAGATTTCTTTTAGTATCTCTGCCATGATTAAACTACAGAATGTCTGTTTGCATACACCTCCTTCCTTTTAGCAAGTACAAGTGGCTCTACAGTTAAATCTATGCATAACTCTACCGAAATTACCACTCAAAATAAATCATAAGCATAATAAGAAATTATTTGTCATTGTT